AGGACTTGGTTTGATCCCAGTGCTGCATAAAAATAGAGAATATATTTCAGTGGTAGTGTGTTGCTAGCCTAGAAGCCACCATGGGTCCATTCCTAGTACCGTATAAACAAGTGAGCAAGCAAACCTCCGTTCAGTTTAAATCCAATGTAAAGAGAGATAAATTCACAGAAGGCATTGCTAAATGCAGGAAATAGAAAGGTGAGAAAACAGGTCCTGCTGCTAACAAATGAGTAAAAAGACAGATGCCACGTTTGTAAATAGTGGCAGAGACTTCTTGTGATGGAGAGCAAGTTACAGATATGCAAGGGAAGATTCCCCAGAGAGACTGCAGCAGAGCAAGAGCTGAGGATCTGGTGTGGGCTCTGCCCTGTGGGTGTGGACAGAGGGGAGCACGGGAATGTTGAGTCGGGGCTGGTTTACACAGGTGAGCGAGCGCACAGGTCCTTCTGGTCCTGTCTCCCTGGAAAGAGCCTAGAAATGACAGCAGCCTAGTAACTGAACACACCACACCCAGACTTGGGCTAAGAAAACCAGGGCTCCTTGGAGAAATGTTAGGAACCTGCTGACTGTATTCCCAAATGGCTGCACTATTCCACATTTCCATGAGCCACGAAGAGCAGGGTCTCTACCACAGCCACTCACGTGTGTGTGTGCGTGTGTTGGCATCTCCCATTTTCCTAACAGTGATACTGGACTCTCTTTGTCAGTCGTGGGGCTTGAACTCTGGGCCTGAGCACTGAACTGCAATCCTCAGATCTCAGCCTGCTGAGTAGCTAGGATTACAGGCGTGAGCCACCAGCACTCGGCTGGACATTCTTTATAATAACCAGTCAAAGCAAAGATTCCTGTCATTGGTGTTTTCAGAGTCAAAGACGTGCTCCTGTCAGACGCCGAGGAGGAAGGCAGGTAACGGGGAGCCGGGCCTCCACTGTGGCCTGTGCTGTGCCCACAGGACCAAGTCCAAGGCCTGCTCACCCTCTGCCCCCCAGCCTCAAGGCAGCTCCCAGGTCACCATATGGTCAGAGTTCCTTCCCCCTTCCCTCCCCCCTAGTGCTGGGACCAGGGTACTGGGCTGGGGCTGGATGCATGGCCTAGATAGATTGCTGGAGAGGTCTGAGGGCTGGCCAGATTCCCAAACAGGACTGTCTCTGTCCCTGCCTCCTAGTGCAGTGCTGGAATCGAGCTGGGGTCTTGCGCTCCATCTACCGCTTAGGTGCTCGGCTCGCCAGAGGATGCCGCATCGGTCCTGCCTGCCTCTAGCGGGGGTGACAGAAGTCACAGAGTGTAGACCACACCTGGAGGTGTTCTGAGATGCAGTCAATTCAGGAAAAAGGAGGGGCCCACCCTGCAGTTACTGCATGGCCTGACAGTCACCTCTACCTTGGTAAACGCTGCTGCATTTTTCTTGGCAGTGGTGGGATCCTAGCCCCCTGTGCTTGCAACGAGCCAGGGTGGATTTGGTGAGGAACTGGGAACAGGTTCAGGGACCCACCCGATTCATACTTTACTATAGGGACCTTTCTCTGAAGTTGTGGGGAGTCTCCTCTAAGGCACTCCCTGGCGCAGTCCCCAGTCTTGGTCTTTGGAGCTGTGCGCACAGCCGTGGAGATGCTCTGCTCAGAGGCCCCCCTGGCCCACACAAGATCCATTTTGGATCCCTGTGAGCAAGGTTCAGGCATTCCAGCCTGGTGTTCTCGGCTGGTATGACAGCTGCAGACATCATTGATGGCAGGCTTTGCTCCATCCAGGCTCAGGCCCGGGCCCAGCCTCAGCATTCACCCGAGGCCGCCTGCAAGCGCCAGGTGCTGCAGTCAGGGAGTGCAGTGGGCCGGTCGGGGTGCTGTCCAGCCTCAGGACACCCAAGTGCTGGTGCGGAGGATCTGTGGCTCACCACTCACAGCTTCCCTGAGAGCTGCTCATAGGAGTACTTAGGGAAGTGGCGCTGTGGCTCAAGTGGTAGAGCGCTAGCCTTCAGCTGAAGAGCTGAGGGACAGCGCCCAGACCCAGAATTCAAGCCCCATGACCGACAAAAAAAGAAAAAAACTGCCTCATAGGAGTACTTAGAGGGGCCGGGGCAGCTCGTGGCAGAGCACAGGCTGAGCGTGCTCAAGACCCTGGATCCCATACCTGGCAGGCAAGAAAAAACTTCATACCCACCAGGAAGAAGCGGTGGAGCACATGCATAGCACAGGCAAAACCCTGGGCTCTGTTCTCAGTCATGATTGCCCCCAGCCAGGATTCCTCACATTTTCATCTGATGGAAGAAATGTTGGTTTGTTCCTTCCTGAAATCCAGCCACCACAGAGAAGGGACGTGGGGCTATGCAGGTTGTATTGTTAGTTTTTTTGTTTTGGGTGGTCTTGGACGCAGGAGGCTGGGATCTGAGGATCATGGTTCAAAGCCAGCCTGGGCAGGAAAGTCCGTGAGACTCTTATCTCTAACCACCAGAAAACCAGAAGTGGTGCTGTCAAAGTAATAGAGCGCTAGCCTAGAACAAAAGAGCTCAGGGACAGCAGCCAGGCCCTGAGTTCAAGCCCATCCCCCCCTGCCCCCCCCCAAGTCTCACTGACTTTCCTGCTCCCGTTCTCCCAAGTAGCTAGGCTTACAGGCATGAGCCACCAGCGCCTGACTTCCATGACTGTTTTCAGCAGCAAAAAGAATTGTTTTTTTTTTTCTTGGTATGTTTATTTTTTGAGTCTACATAGCCCAGCCTGGCCTCAAACTTGTGATCTTCCAGCCTCAGCTTCCCAAGTCCTGGGATTACGGTTGTGTACCACCATGCTCAGTTTGTGATTTTCTCTGAAAGTTGAGGGACAGGGTGTGTGGCTCAGGCAGTAGAGTACTTGCCTAGAAAGGCCAGGCCCTTGAGTTCAAACTCCAGTATCCCTGCAAAAAACCTGGGGGAGAGCAGCAGCCTCAGTCTTGACGGCCGTCTTCACTGGCTCGCCAGCAAGGCTGCCTGATGGAAATGCAGTGGCTGTAGACGCCAGACATCCCAGAGTAAGTGGTGTGGGACCAGAACTATTTCCTGAGATGATGGCTTCTGCCCAGGAAACGCAGCCGCAGGCTCCTGGTTGGCACGCTGTACTCGGAACCGGGTCTGAGCGTGAGTCAGGCGCACTTTGCCCAGCCGCAGTCCTTTTGCTCTCCCCACCCACATGCCTGTTACCAGGCTCACCTTCCCGAGGTCCCGTCCCATCCTCCAGGAAGCTGGAACAGGAACCCTAAAGGTAACACCTCCTCCTCTCCTGACCTGTCGAATCCTAATGCTGCTTTCCTGCAGACAAGGGAGCAGCGCGGCGATGGCACTGAGGACCACCCCTGCAGTTGCTGCAGGCAAACCTGCAGCACAAGTGACACAGTGCCAACCGTGCGTGCGTGAGACAGGCTCTTCCTAAACAGTCCAGGCTGTCCTTGAACTTGAGACCTAACAAGTGCCAGAATTCAAGCATGTGCCAGTTCCCAAACCCGACACCTTGTGAAGCCTCAGCCTTTCCATCCATGCCGTGTGGAAGATGAGTGGAAGTACAGTTGGGCCCAGGTGGTGGCCAAGTGGACGGGGCTCCGGTTCCCGCAGGTGATGCCACCCTCATCACCAGCATTGTGGGCAACCGTGGCAAGCTCACTCCACTCTGGCGAGGTCAAGGAAGGCGTAGCACAGACAGCAGTCACCGCACAGGCCAGTCACTGCTGCCAGCCAGGGCGAGCACGGAACGGAGGAACTGGACTCTCAGCCAGACTACAAACACCAAAAAGCAGAGTTTTCTTGAGATGCAGGGTGTACGTTCTTGGACATGGTCACACTGGGATGAGCCACATCCACCAGGAGAGCCCACATGAGTCTAATGGTGACTGCTGGCTACTGTGTGGGTTTAGAAGAGGAAAAGACAAGCCCTGTTCATACTCCTGCAGCAGTGCATGGGCTGAAACCCAGGCCACCCTGACACCCGGCCCTCAGTGATGTCACCTTAGACGGCCTCTCTCCAGCCCACTCCAGCCCAGGAAGGGCTAGAGGGAGGCAGGATGGCAGGGAGGACTGAGACTCTCCATGTGCACATTATTCCACAATCAGTTACTGTGGGGATGGGCACTCAACAGCATAGTCTAACAGACAAATGAAACACAAATGACAAATGTACAGTTTAACACCCCATAAGCAGTTGTGCACCTAGACAGGGTCACAGGTACAATGCAACACAGAGGAAGATGAAGGCCAAGCTCACAACACCGAAGGGTAGAGGTCATAGTGCATAGGGTCAAAGTTACATGCTTTATGAAACCACCCCAGGCCTGCAGCCCCTCAGAGTGGCACTGTGTGTGTGGCAGGGCTCTGGGGACAGCGTGGCTGGACACTTCTGCAGCTTCCTAGGGCAGGCTGGCACCAGCAGTGCAGCTGGGCTGGACGTGCAGCTCGCAGAGCACAGAGGCCTGCGTGGAGCCCACCTGGGAGACGGAGCTGTCTGGGCTGCCTCCTCAGCCCACTCCCATACTTCCTTTCCCGTGATGGCTGTTGAACCAGGGCCCGCATGTTAGGCAAGTGCCCCACTCTGTGATGTCTTGTTGGCCCTTGTTGGCCTCTCCGTGGTGAGCAGAATGCAGTCAGTCTCCAATGCCAATGTGGCCACATGCCAGCCAAGCAAAGTCAGCACGGTGGGACCTGCTGCCCTTGGTGGCTGAAGTTCAAAAGTGTACAGGGGGGCTGGGACTGTAGCTCAGGGGTAGAGCGCTTGCCTAGCATGCATGAAGCCCCAGGTTCCATTCCTCAGTACCACAGACACAGAAAAAGCCAGAAGCAGTGCTGTGGCTCAAGTGGTGGAGTGCTAGCCTGGAGCAAAAGAAGCTCAGGGACAGCGCCCAGGCCCTGAGTTCAAGCCCCAGGACTGTGGGGAAGAAAAAGTACAGGGACAGTAAGAGCCAAACCAAGCAGGAAAGCTGGGCCTGTGTACCCGCTCAGCAATCCCAGGGCCAGCAGGTGTCCACAGGGCAGCAGCCCAGCCCTGCCGTGCCTTCCGCTGTTCGAGCAACTGTCTGAGGCACTGAGTCTCAACTAGGGCATAACTCTTCCAGGAACTTTTCTGGGCCTTTTTACACCTAAAAGACAATGGTCGGTCTCTGCTCACTCCCAATTGTAGGATGAGAGGGTAGATGAGGGAAGCACTTCCCAGTGCCAGTGCCGACACTCTACTCCCCCCCACACTACAAAGATAGCGCCACGCGGAGCTCTGAACACCAAAGTGGCCAGCAAGCCCAACTGGAGCGGGCCTGGCCATCCCCCTGGTGGTCACCACTTCATATCCAGGGTGTCTGCGCAGGGCTCCAGGCTCTGGTGGGTGGTGTGCAGCACCTGCTGCGCTCGGGGAGAGTCGGTGCCCTCCAGCCACTCCTGGTACAGCTCCTGCACGTGCGCACTGCTCTCCGGGGCCCACACGGGGATGTCAGAGTAGATGCCCTCCATCTGCCGAAGCAGGGCCTTGTCCGCATGTCCGTCCTCAGTCTGTGCTTGGCCCCTACCATTCAAGCACCCTGAAAGACACAATTGGTCTCAATGAAGCTCCATCTCAGAGGTGAGTGAAGCAGACGGGCAGGCGAGGAGCGACACGTGGCCTCGGCCAGAGGCAGGCCCAGATGGGTGTCAGAGCCTCAGGGTTCTATTTACTTCACCCATGAATTGGCTTTGCCCCAAACCCCAACAATCAAGCACGAACCTTTCAGAACTGGGAAGGGCTCTGTCTGCAAATCTAGATTCCCAACCTCTCAGGATTTACCCAAACCTGAAGACCGTGGACCACCGACTGCCCATGGGCTGCTCCCACCTGTCCCCACGCTCCCCTCCAGGATGAGCCGGTCCTTGTGTGCTCATCCGCACAGCCCTCCCCTGGACAGACACACAGACTTGGGAGCCAGTCTCCCCTCGTTGAAGGTTGGGTGTCCCCCTTCCCAGTGAGCACCCTGCCCTCTTTCTTAAGACTCCAGCCCTACACAGGCTTGTAGAGCACAGGATGTGGGGTGCTGGAGATGTGCCTTCCCATCCATAGGAGGACTCTGCCCTCCTGAGCTGCCCCCGCCCCCGTACTGCTCCTCCCTCTGCTCCGTACCGGCGGCTTCCCCATCACCTCTTCACGGCCTTCTGGTTGCAGGACCAGGTCAGCTGGCACCGTGTACACTCCCCAAGGTGCCCTGCGTGTCCCTGAGATTGCACAATGTGGCTGGCTGCTACCTGATGCCCGAGCATCTCACCATGTCCAAACAACAGAAACACACCACTCACCTTGGCCCCAAATCAGCTCCCTCCCACCAGGAGTGAGGTTTCCAGCCTACTTCAGCTGGAGTAGACCAGCACGGATCAGTGGCCCCCGTAGCAGTGGCTCTGGTCCTTCCCTGTCAGCATGACTGCACTAGGAAGGTCCAGCCTTCCCAGCAGCAGGGGGAGGACTACCTAGAGCACAGGCCACATCGCTGCCCTTCCTGCCACCACCTCTAATACAGCCAGCACCTGCTGAGCCTCAGTGTGGAGTCCTCGGAGTGAGGACTCCACACTGGGGGCCGACCCGAGGGCTGAGGAGCTTCACCCATGCACTGTCTAGGACCAAGCCCAGCCGTCACTCATCACGCAGGGCGGGCTCTGCAGCGACTATGGCTCACCTCTGGGACATGCGAGGACTTCCACAAAGTGGTATGGGAACTTGTCCTTCTTGAGCTTCAGGATGATGTTCTGGATGTTCCGGAAGCCATATGCTGCAGCAAAGCGCAGTAGGACCTCGCCACTCTTCTCCAGGGTGACTTCACGGAAGTCTTTGTTTCTACAAAGGTACGACAGGTCTGACCGGTGATTCTCGATTGTTGACCTGCACAGCACTTGCTGGTTGATTGGTGGTGGTGGTGGTGGTGTGTGTGTGCTGGTCCTGGGGCTTGAACTCGGGGCACTGTCCCTGAGCTTTAGTGCTGAAAGCTGATGCTCTACCACTTGAGCCACAGTTCCACTTCTGTGGTTTTTTAGTGGTGAATTGGAGATAAGCATCTCATAGACTTTTATGTCTTTCCTGCCCAGGCTGGCTTTGAACCATGATCCTCAGATCTCAGACTCTTGAGTAGATAGGGTTACAAGTGTGAGCCACCAGAATCTATTTTTCCTTTTTTTTTTTGCCGGTCCTGGGGCTTGAATTCAGGGCCCGTGTGCTGTCCCTGAGCCTCTCTGTGCTCAAGGCTGCCCTCTACCATTTGAGCCAAGCACCACTTCTAGCTTTTTCAGAATGGCTTATTGGAGATAGGAGTCTCAAGGGGATTTTTCTGCCCAGGCTGGCTTCACACAATGATTCTCAGCTCTCGCATCATATGTAGCTAGGATTACATGTGTGAGCCACCAGTGCCCCTTTTTGTTAGCTTGTTTTTCCTTTTTGGGATAGAGTCTTACTGTGTATATGTAGCCCAGCGTGCCTTCAAAGTAGACATCCTCCTAAGTCTACCTCCTGAGTGCTGGGATTATGGGCGTGTGACCTACGCTCAGTCGTTTAGCAGAGCCAACACCCGCACTGTTGGGACAACAGGTGCTCCTGTGGAGCTCAGACATGCCACACTCGGACCCTGCCAGCACCAGCCACGGGCAGCACCGCGCACAGGCCGGCTGTGGTGCCCAGGACACACCTCAGTGCGCGGTAGGCGATCTCCTCCACGTGCTCCCCAAACAGCTCCTTGGCGGCATGTCTGAAGACATGGGCCAGATGCCCATCTGAGCCTGCTCCATCATGGCGCCGTACCACGGCCTCCTTCCCGTCTCCGAACCTCATCAGACAAAGAAGACAAGTCCTTCATTAATACCCGTCGGGCTCTGAGGGTGCCAGGATCCACAACATTTTAATCAGTCATGGGGGCTTGAATTCAGGATCTGGGTGCTGTCCCTGAGCATTTTTTTTTTGCCAGTCCTGTGGTTTGAACTCAGGGTCTGGACGCTGTCTTTGAGCTTGTTTTGCTCAAGGCTGGCACTCTACCACTTGAGCCACAGCGCCACTTCCAGCCATTTCTGTGTATGTGGTACTGAGGAATGGAACCCAGGGCTTCATGCACTCTAGGCAAGCGCTCTACCACTGAGCCACCTTCCCAGCCCCTCCCTGAGCTTTTTGGCTAAAGGCTAGTGCTCTGCCACTTGAGCCACAGCTCCTCTTCCAGTTTTCTAGTGGTTAATTGGAGATAAGAGTCTCACAGATTTTCCTGCCCAGGCTGGCTTCGACGTGATCCTCAGATCTCAGCCTCCTGAGAAGCTAGGAGGTGCCTGACTATTACATTCTGTATAGATACTGAAGCTTTGAGGATCACGTTCTTACTGAAGTGTGTCTCTTCTTGTGACATGCTGTGCCCTCTGCTCTGGGTGGCAGGCTGGGCCTGATAAGCACAGGCTCCCAGCAGGCCCTCAAGCTGCAGACATTCTGTAAGTGCCATTCTCACCCCCATAAAAAGGGCACACACCAACACAGTACTCAGATCACCCCTTAGGACATGCAGGTGGCCTCTGTACCCATCATCCTTGCTGGGCATTGGGGTCCAGCAACTGTGCTTAAGGGAGATGCCCATGTGCTAGGAACAGGGGACAGGTGACCCTGGGGTGCATGAACGAGGCCCTGTCCCACGGGCTGGAGCCCAGGACGGGCAGCGTAGGGGAAGCCCTGCTGAGGTGCCCGCGTCCAATGACAAGGTTTCCCAGGAGACAGCTGTGGAGGGACTTCGTCTCATCAGCAGCCGGGCAGCCCTACCCACTGGAGGAAGCCACTTACAGGGTGTCCACAGCCGCATCCCTCACTGGCAGGCCACTTTGCTCCATGATCTGAGCGACTTCACCTGAAGAAAATCGAGAAGGGTGAGACACCTGGAAGACAGCCAGCCCATGCCAGCAGAACACAGTGTTTCTTCCAAAAGAAGACTATGTGCGGTGGCAGCCTAGGACGGCTGCATACAATCACCACACACAGTGGGCAACGTATACTAAGACAAAAAGCACTAAAAATCCCTCTTGGCATTTGAACGGAGGGACTTAGCAAACAATCCATATTGTCTCTCAAGTGAGATTTTGTACATTTAAACTACACCACTACATTTATGAGACATATACACCAAGAACTGGAAACATTTTCTACATTTTCTTTTTGTTGCCCTTCCATTTTCTAATATAGGGCTTTTTCTATGTAGCCCGGGGTGATCTTGAACTCAATCTTTCTGCCTCAGTCTCCCAAGTGCATGCTTTGTGCTTGCTCTACCTTTCCTTGCATGGGGGGATGGGGTCCTGAGAAAAATCCCTGCGAGAAAGAAAGCCCTAAGCAACTGCAAGACGTGGCAGGGCAACCCATGCAGGCTCTTATTTTATCTGCAGAAACAGCCAGCCCAGCCCTGCTCAGGAGTGGAGGATGGAGTGGAGGACGGAGTCCTGAGGGGCTGTGTTCTCTCGCCAAGTGGCCCACCGTGGAGCACAGCTGGCTGGAGTCCCAGCCACAGGCTCCCTCACCGTGGAGTCTCAGGTGAAATCACCCATCAAAGGAATTCCTGCCCTCCCAGGCCACCTTGAGATGTAGCTGCCGCCTGATGTTCTGTGGACCTGAACACTGACGCCCAGGACTCTGGTCTGATCCCAGCAGACCTGCCTGGACATTACCCAGCCCCGCTAGTGGCGAACACGCTTTCTGCTGGAATGCTCTGTGACTTGGGATGATTCCATTCCCAACAGCATTGAGCACACGGTGGCCAAGAGCCATGTCACTGAAACAGATGCCTTTCCACTTTACTCTGAATGCAAAAATCTCAGTGGTGGTGCGGGTTTGGTTGGCTTGTGACTGCCTGTGGTGGTCACATACGGGAAAGTGCCATGATGGGTGTAACCTAAGACTGCAGGCCATGCCACCCAGCCCAGTGGCCCTCCCAGACCCTTGACTAACTGGAGAAAGACAGAGGGGTGAACAGGACTCAGCACCACCCTCTTCCTCCTCCTCCCTTTCACCATGAAGCCCCTGGGACCCTCAGCCATCTGGCCATGCAGAGCCCCTGGCCCTCATGGACACTGGCTCCCAGAGACCCTGCCGCCTCTCACCTGATGTCAGCACACAGTCAGTGCCCCGGGCATCATGCAAATCCGCGGAGAAGCCGTCTCCAAGAGCCTCCAGCTTCTTGTCATAGCAAGGGGCCACGACAACGTGGAAAATCTTCTCTGGAGGCAGGTTCTGCAGAGGAGAGCGCCGAGCTTAGCCCTGGGGGCAGGCCATGATGCCAGAGCACCACTGGTATGAGGACACAGCAATGGCAGAGCACCCCCGCTCCCGGCCCTGGCCAGGGTGCTGAGCTCTGTGGGTGATCCCACTCCACACACACTTCAGTTTCTACACAGCACGTGGTCAGCTGTGTGGGCTGGATTTGCCCACAGAATCTGCAGGCCCCATGTATGCCCAAGACACCCCGGAGAAACAGCAGCAGAGCCTTTTTCCTCCTGAACTCACACACAGGACACAGTAGTTGAGGGCAGAGGTGTGTGTGTGTATGTGTGTGTGTGTGGCATGTGGGCATGCAGGTAAGGGAAGCGTAGGTGTCTCTTGGCTCACCCGCAGGTGCCGGGAGCCTGCCTGAGTGGCACTGCTCCACGGACCCCTTTCCTAGGGCCTAGCCCTGAGGAGCAGGGATCCAGAGCTGAGCAGGGACGGGGACGGGGCACAGCCAGTGACCTGTAAAGTGAGCCCTGTGTAGAAAGGTCCCAGCAGGGACAGGGCAGAGCACAGAGGCTACCCGCCTCCATTACAACTCTGCCAGGAAGTTAAGCAAGCAGCGGCTGGAGGCCAGGGCTCAAAGGCTCAGCTGTCCCCAAGCAGCACCGGTGAGAGGACCAGAGCTGTGGACAGTGGCCAGAGGAGGGTGGATGAGCAGTCGTGAGGAGACTCAGGAAACGTGAGTCCTCACAAACAGGTCATAGGGAAGGCAGGAGGCAAAGCAGAGAGGAAACATTCTCCACGTGACACAGGCATGGGTGGCATTGGTCCAGTTGGCCCTGGCTCTGTTCTCTGTCTCCATGCAGCTGTCTGTTACCCTGGAGGAAGGCCAGTGTGGCACCACCACAGCTGACCAGGTCCTCACTTGGACTGCTTGCTCAAGAGTACAGGACAGCAGAGGGGTGAGGCAGGTACACTCAGGAGCCCCAACCCAGATCTGTCCTGCGATGTGGAAGACAGGACCAAGATAGTGGCAGGAGCCAGACACAAAAGACTCAACACCTAACCCTATGACCCTAGCGACTCAGGAGTCTGAGGTCTGAGATCTGAGGTTCAAGCCAGCCTGAGCAGGAAAGTCCATGAGAATCTTATCTTTAGCCACCAGAAAGCTGTGGCTCAAGTGGTAGAGCCATAGCCTTGAGAGAAAAAGCCAGGCAAGAGCAGAAGGCTCTGAGTTCAAGTCCCCGGACTAGCATGAGTGCACACACTGTTGGCAGGATCTTTTTTTTTTTTTTTTGGTCGGTCATGGGGCTTGAACTCTGGGCTTAGGCACTGTCCCTCAGCTCTTCAGCTCAAGGTGAGCCCTCTACTGCTTGAGCCACAGGGTCATTTCCGGTTTTCTGGTGGTTTATTGGAGAGAAGAGTCTCACAGACTTTCCTGCCTGGGCTGACTTTGAACCATGAGCCTCAGATCTCAGCCTCCTGAGTAGCTAGGATTACAGGCATGAGCTACCGGCACCTGGCCCGTGGCAGGATTTTAAGGAGGTCATGTGGTACCGTAGTTTGAGGGAAACATCAGGACAGAGGAGAGATTTGGTTCCTTGAGCACCACAGCCTGTGGCCTGTCCATCCTACACCTCCATGTCCCGTAAGTGAGGGAACAGCATCTGTGGGTGAGACTCAGGCCTCCCCTTAGCAAGATGAGCAGTGCTTTCCACTGAAGAGAAGGGAAGTGTATGACAGAGAGAGGGACAGCTGTTGGTGTGAAAGGCCCGACAGGCTCTGGTTCTGAAGCCACAGCTGCCAGGCGTTCACTCTGGTACTGATGGTCATCTCCTCCCAGCGCATGCACAGCCCTCTGAAGAATTCCCCTACCTTCTGTCTGGCAAAGTAGTCCTTCACCAGGGAGCCCATGACCTGCTGGGGAGACTTGGCAGTGCACAGGTGTGGGGTGACAGGGTGGCCGAGCACCCGCTCAGCATATCGGACCCAGCCTGCAAAGAGAGCAAACTGTGAGACCGGTCCACCGCTCCCTCCTGCCTCAGTGGCGTCTGGCCCTGGAGCTCCTGAGCCTGCCATCCTGGGGCCACACTCCCCAGGTCTCGTCAGAAGCCTGCAAGGGCACTGTCCCCACCAGGACCAGCCTCCTCAACAGCTGAGGCCGTGGCCAAGGTGTCCGTGAGACCTGGTGTCCTGCAGGCCCTGGCAGGAGGTCACCTCCTCCCTTGAGCATCCAGGCAGCAGACAGGCGTCAGTGTGAAATCCACCATACCAGCTGTGGGGTTGTTAGCCTGGCTCAGGCCGGGAAAGGCAGCAGCTACACTTACCAACTCTGCCAACCTGCTGGAGGTCGGCCCACTTTTTAGGGCAAGAATGCAGAAATTAGGTTGGATGCTGGTACCTCATGCCCTCTGCCAATTTAGTAATTTCTTCCTTCTTCCCTGTGTGTCAAAAATTTCTCGATACCCAGCCTTCCATTTTTTCAGAATTAAAATATCTACGATATTACCCATAACTATTTGGATGTCTGAACTACATCGTCCTTTGATGAGAAAACGTATTTATTAGTTGTTACATTGGTGGTACCAGTGTTTAAAATCAGGGCTTTGCACCTGTGAGGCGAATACTGTCCCATCTGAGCTATCTCAGATTATATGTTAGAGGGGGCCTCACTTCTTGCTTAGGCTGGCCTAAGTGCAGTCTTCCTATCCAAACCCAGCTTGTTTGTTGAGATGGGATCTTGGTAACTTTCTGTCTGAAGTTGCCTCAAACTTCATATCTTTGCCTCCTAAGTAGCTGGGATTACAGGTGTGAGCCATCACACCATTCTAAAATCTTGATTTTCATTAAAAATAGTATGTCTCTGAAACTTCAGAATTACAAATACACATAAGGGATGCAGGTGAGGGTGCACTGCCGTGATGGTGTGCAAGCCCTGGACTCCAGCCCTGCCACCCCACAAGCCACAGCCAGGCTAGGCATGTGAAAGGCAGAAAAGTTGACAAGACCCCTTTTAAGCCCATAGCTGAGCACAATGGCACACACCTGTCATCCCAACCATGACAGGAATCCTACACGAGGTGGGGATCACTTTCCAAGTGCACCCTTATCTCAGAGTAATCAGTGAATAATGGGCTAGATGTGGCTCAGCTGTACAGCCCCTACCTACTTCAAACATAAGTACTAGAGCAGCGGGAGTGAAGAGAGAAAAGGAAGGAAGGAAGGAAATCAAAAGAAAAAATACCACTCAGTTGTGAGGTTGCCCACGATGCCCAGTCCGAGCCTGGAACGGAAGCCCCAGTACAGGCACACACAAATAAACACCACACTTGCACATCAGGTCTGGTGGGATAGGCTCACTGGCTCCCAGCCTCATCCAGGACACACACCTGCCCTGCGTCTCCGCCTGGTGGACTGGGCGGAGGTCAGCATGGCAGCAGCCTGGACTTACCAGGACAGGCAGAGGTCAGCATGGGCAGTGCTCGCCGCTCCTTGCTGTGCTGACGGTATCGACGCACAAATTCTTTCTGACTCTCCAAGATGCTGAAATCTGCAGCTATCGCTGTGTCAAATACATAGTGCACCCCTGCAGGAAAGGGCAGCAGAAGGATTCTCACCACAAGTACAAAATCACCCCTCATTCCCCCTACCTTCCCTCTCTCCCTCTCCCTCTGACAGTTCTGGGCTTGAATTCAGGGCCTGGGCGCTGTCCCTGAGCTCTTCAGCTCAAGGCTAGCACTCTACCACTTGAGCCACAGCGCCACTTCCAGCCTTTTCTGTTTGTGTGGTGCTGAGGAATCAAACCGAGGGCTTCATGCCTGCTAGGCAAGTACTCTACCACTAAGTCACATTCCCAGTCCCTTTATGAGACTCTTATCTTCAAATGAAATACTCAGAAAAAGCTGAAAGTGGTGCTGTGGTTCAAGTGGTAGAGAGCTAGCCTTGGGCACAATGAAACTTGGGACAGTGCCCAGGCTCTAAATTCAAGCCCTAGAACTGGCAAACACACACACACACACAAATCATAAAGTGTTACCATAATAAGAAATTAGTTTCCTTATGGATACGCGTTCTTCATTCGATTATATACTTTTAAAAATTCTCCCTCTCCAAAGAAAGGCTATTATTATTATTATTATTTTTTTTTTTGTCTAGTTGTGGGGCCTAACTCTGGGCCTGGGCGCTGTCCCTCAGCTCTTCAAGCACTCTACCACTTGAGCCACAGCATCACTTCCGGCTTTTTCTGCTTATGTGGTGCTGAGGAATCAAACCCAGGGCCTCATGCATGCAAGGCAAGTTCTCTACTATTGAGCCACCTTCCCAGTCCGAAAGCCTTTTATAATAGAGAACAAATTACTCAAAATGAGATCTTGGATAAAACTACGCTAACTTCAGGCTTTCAAAGACGGGACGCCTTCAGGAATGAGGCAGTGAGTTCCCCTGTGTGGTCCCCGCACATCCCCAGTCAACAGCCCCGGGAGCAGCAGTCTCAGGCTGTTCTCTGGACGTAAAGCCTGGCAGTGTTGGTGGCTCACACCTGTAATTCCAGCTGTGAAGGAGGCCGAAATCTGAGGATCATGGTTCAAAACCTGCATGATCAGTAAGTGTGTGAGACTCTTATCACCAATTAACTCCCAGAAAATCGGAAGCAGAGAGTACCAATCTTTGAGTGAATAAGCTAGCCCTGAGTTCAAGTACTGGTACTGGAACTAAAAAAAATAAAAGACTTAAGCCCTGTTCTGACAATCCTCATGCCAAATGTCATTCTGCTGCGCTACTAACCCTCATGATCACAAAGTCTTTTCCCTTTTGTGGTGACACTGGGGCTCAAGCCCATGCGTCGCTGTTTCATTCATGGCTACTTGATGCTCAAGGGCCACAAAAATACCCCAAAGTAAACAGGCGTCTGGCCGGGCTGGGGCAGGCCCAGCTGGACACAAGTGGGTGCAGAAGTACTTTTGGCATTTAGGGCAGCATCACTCCTGTGTTCATGTCTGAAATCACCACCTTTCGTTCCTCATGTAAGAGACATGAGATGGGGCTGGGAATGTAGCTTAGCAGTAGAGCACTTACCTAGCAATTGAAGCCATGGGCTTGATCCCTAGTACAACAAAACAAAACAAACCCGCCAAACCCAAGCATGCCCATTCCCTTCTGCTTCGCACAGCACATCCCCTGGAAACCGGACACTAAGCATTTCAGAAGTGGCAACGTGGAGGCTATGGACGAGGGGGGGAGACTCCTGGTGTGCATTCACGCACCTGACTCTAACAGCTGCTCATGACCAGTGGGGTGCATACCAGCCCGCTCCCTGTTGGAGGCTTGTTTGACAGATTCAGTTTACATTCTATGAGACTCTCCTAGAAGTTCCTCATCTCTCCTCGACCCTGAAAACTGAACTTTGGAGCACAAAGGGGCACAATTCACCACATTGGCAAAGGTGACTCACCAAGACTTTTGAGGAAGCCACAGAGCCTTCTGGATGCATCAGTGACACAGAGGTTGAATTTTGCAGCAAAATAAGGCAGAGACTGAGGACACACAGACACGACCAGCACTCTGTGCTTTGAGGCATCGCACTTCTACAAGGAGAGGTAGAAGGAGGTCACACACATCCGACCAATGAGGAGAGTAAGCTGCAGCTGTTATGAGAAGACTTTACCCTTGACCTTGTCTTGCTGAAGACAGGGACACCTGTTGTTTAGGAGGGTGATTTGGGGTATACTTGGCCCTGTCCCAGTCAAACAACTCCCTTAGAACACAATCCCTACTCCCCAATACACCCAGAATGTGGCAGAAGAGTACCGACACCAGGATCTCACACTTGACCTCTCCAGGTGAGGCGGAGGGCCTGAGGGGGCCTGCTGCCCGCACTGCCTGTGCAGATGGAAAAGTTTATACAAGAATCTGTATTCTTAGTGGGCACCGGCGGCTCCTGCCCGTGACCCTCGCTACGCAGGAGGCTGAGGTCTGAGAATTTCTATGGCTCAAAGCTAGCATGGGCAAGAAAGTTTTTGACACTCATCTCCAATTAACCATCAGAAAACCAGAAGTGGTGTTGTGGCTCAAAGTAGTACAGTGCTACCCTTGAGCAAAAAGAGATCAGAAACAACACCTAGGCCCTGAATTCAAGCCCCAGGTCTGCGGAAAAAACAAACAAAAACGTATTCTTTTTTTCTTGTGCCACTACTGGGGACACACTCAAAGCCCCATTGCCCTTAGCTTTCCGCTCAAGGCTGGCGTGCTACCACTTGAGCCACACCTCTACTTCTGGCTTTTTTCTGGTGAGTGGGAGAGAAGAGTCATTCAAGATTTGTCTGCCTGGGCTGGCTTTGAATAGAGATCCTCAGATCTCAGTTCCTAAGTAGTTAGGATTACAGGTAAAGATTTTGTTCTTAACAAAGAAGGGCTTGAGAGAAGGCGTCAATGGCAGGGGACGTCTCTGACACAGGAGCAGGGCCGAGATGGCTGAGATGCACGTCAGTGTCCCAGCAGATGCCTACGTCCAGGAGGACAACAGCTCCCTGGGCGGCTCGGCAGGCCCAGGCCCAGCGTGTGCCCCGGCTGTCATACCTTATTAAGGTGCAGAACGTGGAAGAAGTCCTGGGCGTTCTGCTGGGAAAGCTGGACCCCTTCCTCAGGAGTTACACAGCTGTCACGTGCCAGACAGTCACTCAGATACACCTTGGCGTCAGCCAACTTACGGAATTCCCCCTTCTGTAAGAGAAAATGACATTTTGGCATTAATGAGAGCTTCTCTAGGGAGGGATGTGATGCTCATACTAAACAGCCCCTGCTGAGCTCGTGGTGGGGACACAGGGCCTGGCACCTGGCCCACGCGGCTGGGGAGGAATGCTGAGGACAGTCCAGGTCCAGCTATGTTGTGAACAGGAAATGACACTCCTTTGCCACCCAGGAGTCCCATGGTCAGCTCCTTGTCCACTCTCCCATCACAGGCTGTGATCCAGACTGCCCTCCTTGCCTGGGCGCAGCTTCACTCCCTGCGTGCACTGGGTTGTGGCTGTGGTGAGCACTCAGGGTCTCCCTCCAAGCCACTGCCCACTCTGGGTTTCCACCTAAATGTACAGAATGTCCACCTAAATGTACAGAATGTACAGCAGGATCTTTACATCAGCTGGACTGGATCCTCTCTGCCACTCTGGCTGACTTGTTAGCAAAGCTGTCCCCTCCCTGGCTTCCATCCATTATCCATTATCCCTCTGCAGCTGTTGTCTGTCCTAAAACAGACACCTCCACTCCTGAGCCTTTCCTCTTACCCGAGGAGCCTCCAGCATTCACAGGCTTACTGAGCCCACCGCCTCCTCCTGGCATCTCACGCCAACAGAGCATCCACCTCTCCACTGCCCGGGGCCCAGTCAGGCCGCAAATGTGTATTATCTCTCTCACCAGAGCAACAGAAAGGGAGGAATTTAACTCTCCACAACACTGATAAGAACAGAGCCTCGTAGTATGTTCTTTTTTCCTTTTGAGACAGTGTGTTGCTATGCTGCCCAGGCTGGCCTCAAACTTGTGATCCTCCTGCCTCAAACACCCCCCTTTTTTTTTTTTGTCGGCCGTGGGACCTGAAGTCTGCTCTGGGCCTGGGCGCTGTCCCTCAGCTCTTCAACTCAAGGCTAACGCTCTACCACTTGAGCCACAGTGCCACTTCCAGCTTTTTTCTTTTTTCTTATGTGGTGCTGAGGAATCGAACCCAGGGCCTCAGGCATGCAAGGCAAGCGCTCTACCACTGAGCCACCTTCCCAGCCCCTCAAACACCCTTCTGTCCTGTGCACCACCATGCCCAGTGTAGGTGTTTGTTCAAGGTGCTGCACAGACAGCAGGCATGGAGAAGCCCTGGTCCAGCTGCCCCACGGCACTGGTTTCCACTAGCTCAGGGACCAGGTGTTCCTGGATGCCTAGTTGTTGGGAGCCGACAGTGAAGTTTAAAGGTCATCTTGACCCCGGTGCTCACTTAAAAGACACGTTCAAGGAGCTGGCTTACTTAAAAAAATACCAGGTGCCCAGAATTGCTTTGCTATGTCTACAGAGTTTGTTTTACTTTCTACCAGTTGACCTTGTCTTGTTTTTACTGCACTCTGTTTTTACTAAAATTTTCCTTGTTTTTCTGGACTATTGTAACCTTGTGTTACCTCTTGACTTCTAATAGTATATACTAGGGAAAGTTAAAAATAAACAGGGCTGCAGCCTTGAGCTGCAGACCTCCCGACCCCATCCTTGGTCTTATGTCTTTATTTTTCCGCATCCTCACCCCTAGTTCAGGATTCCCTTTTGTTGCCAGCATCTCCGGCACCTAGTGAGCAGCATTCTGGGTTTTTGCCTCAAGCCTTGTTGCTGCCCAGGTCCTAGTCTCCACAACACAGCACCAGCACACAAGAGAATCAGACTAGTGCCCATCAACTAAACAGCACGTTGGAATACCTAAGAGAAAAAAAATCTGTCCCTTGCTTTTCCCACAGGGCCAATTCTCCACATAAACTTAGTTCTAGAGCACTGGTGGCTCACACCTGTAATCCTAGCTACTCAGGAGGCTGAGATCTGAGGATTACAATTCAAAGCCAGCCTGGATGGGAAAGTCTGTGAGACTGTTATCTCCAATTAATCACCAGAAAACAGGAAATGGCACTGTGGCTCAAAAGTGGTAGAGCCCTAGCATTGAGCTTGCTCAGGGACAGTGCCCATGCCCTGAGTTCAAGTCCCATGACTGACAAAAATTGATTCTAGAAATTTCTAAGGGGTGAAGTGACTTAACCTCCTCCTAGCACTAGTTCTTGTGAGCAGGGGACACTGGTAGAGCACCCCGAGCATGCGATGGCAGGCTCAGAGTGTGTGACACATTAACAACAAAAACAGAACTGGAGGAGCAGAGGACATGGTCCCAGGGGCAGAGCACCTGCCTAGCAAGCGTGAAGAATGAACTCAAACCTGAGTATTGCCAAACAAAAAAGAAATTTAAAAGAATTCTGAAAAGAACTGAATTGCAGAAAAACCTATTTGAACACTAAGCTTACAGAATCATGACATTTGCTGAGCACCAGTGGCCCGCACCTTTAATCCCGTCTGCTGGGGAGGTTGGGAACAGGGACACTAAGGTTGGACGCCTGGCTCAGGTGCTACTGCGCCAGCCAATGAGCAGAAGTACTGGGTACCAAATCCAAGTCCCAGTCTCGAACACAGAAAAATAATGGGAAGACTGAAGTTCCAAGGCCATCCTGGGCAGAAAAGTTTGAGACTCCTCTCAAGGCAGAGCTGAGCGCAGTGACACACACCCACATCATAAGCTACGGGGGGGGGGGGGGGGCTGCGACTGCAGGATCAAGGACTCTGCCTTCATGGAGAGAAGGGGGACGCAGTGGCACACACCTGTGACCCCAGCAACTACAGGAAGCACAAAACGGGGACTGCAGTCAGACACACTCAGGGCAGGAAGCAAGACCCTATTCTAAAAATAACCAGTGAAAGAACCGTGCTGGAGGCATGGTTGAGTACTCCACTAGCCTAGCAAGTGCGACTTGAGTTCAAACTCCAGTGCTGCCAAATATAAAAATCATGACATTTAAGTTTTTAGAAATTTCCTACCCGTGGTATACAGAACAGAGGTTTCCATTTAAGACTTGAGGGTTCAGTATCATACTTCACTCCTCTGTTCAGTGTTTCAGCCTGGTGTGTTTGAGAGCAAAGGTGGCTGCACCCCAGCCCTGAGCCCTTCACTTTCACACTGGTCTTTCTTAGAACAAGATGTGCACCATGACTCGAGCCTCTGAACAGGACAAACAACAGCCGCTCACTTTAGGCTGATACAAAACTGAGGAATCTACTTGCCTCTTCGTTCTCCTCCACTGGACTTGGGGCATCGATGGGCACATTCTCTTGGTCATCAGTTTTTGTTTTTTTACTACATTCCTTGAAAAGGCAAAGGAACATTGTCAAAGAACAATTTCTAACCTGATTCTGTCACAAGAAACACATATCTTGATCCATTAACTTCATATCTATGAATCTTTTCTACAGAAATGAGAGTACTGCGCTTACAGGTGGACGATGGCGCACGCACGCACGCACGCCTGAATTGTTCTCACTGAAAACTAGAAGTAAAGCGACCGTCGTGCACATCTGACTCATCTGGACCAGGCACACGTGGGCCGTGGGCGGGCATCCGGGGCTGGATGAGCGTGGAACGCGCGGGTGGGCGCCGGAGTGAGAGCCGGCCGGAGTCCGCGGCCCTCAGGCGGCCCGGCGCAGAC